ATGCCTTTCCTATAAAGGGAGAAAGAAAGTACCGGTTGTTTTAAAATGTTAACAGTAATGAATGAATTAACTTTTAAAAGGTCAGAAAAATAACCTTTACAAGTCCTCACTGGGGGTTTGCACAGACCTGACTGTTGTACTAGTTGTTTTTTTCACTGCTGATGGCAATTGCAGGTAATGCTTTTTTTTTTTTTCTATTTGTTTTGAAGTTCTTCCAATATAACTTATATAACTTATAATTGCATAGTTTTCTATGAGGTTCTTCACTACAAGAGATCCCAAAGACCTTCTGACACAAACGTAAAAATACAGCATGTTTTGATGAGATGGTAGCAATTCCATATTGCCAGTTTCTCATATTTAGGTCTGATGAGCCGAAATATCCCAAATCATGAGGCTGGCTTAAGAAGCATAACTAAAAAAAGAAGGTTCTTTTAATTTTCTTTGTGTGTATTTTTTTTAATGGTCATAATTCCAGAGTAGGTCTGTCTTTAAAGGGCAAGAAAATTTACATTTATAAAGGAGGAGATAGAGGAACAGTTGAAAAGAAAAAGATGGTAGTAAAGGAAAGGATAACCAAGATTCTTCCCACAGGCAAGAACCCAGCTCACAAAGAGATGAAGGCTTAAGGAATTCACAAAAATGCTGTAAAATCTACAGAACTGGCAGGAGAGGAAATAAATCCCCCACAGTACCCAAGACTTTTGGATCTTTAATGTTCATTCAAGGAACAAGAGCTCAGATTTAAAATTGCAGCTGAAAGGCCTCTGTGTTACTATGCAATGCCCAGTTCACTCCCTTTGGCTGGCTGAACAGAGGAACTGTGCCTGCCTGATTGCAAACAGTTGGCTCCCCAGGTACCTTGCTGGCTTATAGTTAAGGATGCACCATGTTTGTGCAGCAGTGTCCACTGAATTGGCATTATTATATTGTTGTTAATAAACATATTTTCCATAATACTCAGTATGTATATATTATATCAATATTAAGAGTGCCTGACACTTTCTATTAAAAAGCCTGTTTTCAGTTACTTATAACTTTTCATACTTGCAGCAGTTTGACAAGGCATTTTCTGTGCCAGGTGTTTGCCTCAGGCTGGATTTTTGTGGTGTTTTTTGGTTTGTTTGTTTTGTTCTGTTAATGTCAGCCAAAGCAGCTCAGCTATTCCAGAGAGGTAGGCTAGGGAAAACCATGCAAAATGAACCTGGCAGTCTTTTTGAAGAGACCTAGTGCCCCTCTGCTGGGAGAAGGTACTTAACCTTTTGCAAAGGGGTGACTTTTCTGCTAGAGACCTTCCTCAGCTGGTAGGTTGGGATGGCAAACCTGCCAGAATGTGGGTGACTTGCAAGGAACCTTTAAAAACCACAGTGGCCTGTGGCCACAGAGACTTGTTGGAATATGAGGTCTGATATGTCCATACTCACTAAGCAGGTTCAATTCCTTCAGCTCCAGTCCAAAACCATACTGATATGCTCTATTCCCCGCCAAAACTACCAGCTCCTTCCAGCCCCAGACTGAAAACTGTTAGTGAATCTCTGATAATGAGGTAAAATGCGTGGCATGCTTAGTCCTTGTATTCAACATGCATTTTATCTCACTCATTCCAAAACTGCTGAGCGTCTCAAGAAGAACTTATCTTTTCAATTCCTGAAATAAGTTTGCAAAAGACTGTTAGGAAAAGCACTTTTAATTGAATAATAAATTTTAAGGCTGAAAGCAGGACCAAGCCTCTCCCTGCCTACCTGTCTTACTGAGTTCAGCGACAAGGTACCCCTAAATGCACACTTAGGTCATACCTGATGGAAAAAGGAGCTCTTTCATGTTATTTCAGTAGGCAGAACATAGATGCATTGTCTCATGCTGTCCAACACCTCATTCAGATCTGTTGGTCTTGCACACAGAGCCTGGGACTACAGCAGTTACCTTCCCCGACCTCTGATGCCCCTGTGCAGCCTGATGTAGCCACAAAGACACCAGAGCTGGACTTGGGGGTGTCCTAAGAGGCTGTTCAGTAACATGCCTGTTACACCTACGCAGAAATCACGGACTGCTTTGTCAGGAAGACTCAAGTAATCGACTGAAATACATTATAACTGAAGTGGCAGAAATCACATAATTATCTTTTTCTGATACAGCATCAGTTAGAATATTGCTTCTTTTATTGGTATTAATGCCCCAAAAATGGGTACAAATTGAAGTATTTTTATTATGAAGATTTCTGTCACTTTTCTCTGGAGACTAGAGTAATCTCTAGGGAATTTTTAAGTACATTTAGTCTGGTTTTATTTTTTAACTTCACACTTTTTTAAACTATTGCTAGTAAATTTTTTTTTTCATTTTTGAGTTTCTAAATTATATTGCTCATTATAGGGACTTACAATAGGTAGTATTTAATTCATAAAAATATGCAGAATAGTGATAAGATACTTAGGAAAGTGTTTAATGAGCATACTGTATATCTAGTTTTGTTGCTCTTTATAGTTTAGAATTGGTGTGTAGACGGTTATCAGCATGGACAAAAATTATACCAATAGCCAATCCTCATGTTCAACAAATGTTTGCTTGCTGTATCACAAACATTTATAATAGCATTTGGTTCAAAGATGTTTGCGTACCTTATTTGAGCAAGTTGCATATTTTTCTGGTTGAGGGGTGTGTTCTGTAGTTATTACATTTTTACATGCTCCACTGGCTGAGCTGCACAGACTACTTTAACTATCACCAAGAATACTTGACTGAGTTCAGCTGCTTATTTGAGTGCTTTGGTTCGTGCACTTTATTACTTTAGTGGTGTACTTTGATAAAGTTCTGTTCTGTGCTGTTAAATTTTTGGTACTGCCACTCTCATTGTATGCCATGCTGGGAGAACTGCATGCATTGCTAACTGCTCACTCTGCGGTGAACGTGAGTGGTTGAAATGTTATAATCTGCAGTGTTTTGTTAAATGAGCTGCATATTTTTGTTTTTATATACGTTGCTTACCCAGTTGTGTACATTTGCCCAACTCATTATACAAAATAAGCTTGATTGGAATAAGAACATTCTCTACCAGCTGTCTGCTCTGAGTCAGTATGTAACAAAATTAGCAACTTTCTCTTTCCAACGGTGGCATGATTGCATCCAAAGTTTAAGGCAATTGGTTTGGAGATCTTGTTTGTTTCATTCACTCCATGCAAACATCAAGATTAACAAATCAATTTGTTGCAACTTAATTTGTTTTCACAAATATGGACAGAGTTAAGTAACAGAAAAACTCAGCATTCTAATACAGGAAAATGCTTCCATGTATAGTATGAAATATATTCACTTATATATAGAACTAAATGTAATTATTGAACTTAAAGCCACCAGCTGTAAACATAAGAAGATGGAAAATAAATAGAGGCCCCCCAAGAGGCATATTGCATCAAATAAGCAACACCCTAAATGTGTAAAATGACAAGTATAAAGTTTGGTAAATTGTGTGCCTTCATCAGGAGGTTACGAAAATAAGCTCCTATCTTGACCCTTAGAAAAACTCAAAACACTGCAACAGATAAAATATGTGGAAAACTCATGTACATGTCTATGTTTTTTCCTCATTATCATTGGTATAAAATTGAATTAACAGCTTTAAAAAAAAAAGTGTTATTCTCAACTTTCTAGTTTTTTGAACCACTTCCAGTAAAAACCTACAGGCTATTCTGAGACGTTGTTTGACTAATTTGAAGAGTTTGCATACGTAACAGCTTCTGCTTCCATTTACAAAATCTTCAGCACTACCATGGCTCAAAAAAGCCTTTCTTAATTTTTCTTGATTACAGAGGTGCTTAATTGGGGCTATACAATTTACCTGGATTTCTATCTGCCCCACACATGAATGCAAATGTGCCTGGCTCATGTTGGCTGTGTCCCACTGCTGATTGCTTTTGATTTGATGTTATAATTCGTTGTTGTCAGAACAGACTGCCTGGAAGGTCCAGATTTGTTTTTGTGGAATTTTACATACAAAAGCATAATTGATCTTACTGATTTAATCAAAAATGTTTGATTGCAAACACTAGCCATTTAGTAGTCTTTTTTCATTAACTATTATTTAGGTGTGTAAGTACTAGAATAGTTTTGTCTAAAAAATGTCATACAGACAAATTACATTTTCAGCAGCACATCTTCACTGATATCAGAGGAAAAGAAATTTAGAGAGAAAAATACAAATGGAATGTATTAGTATATCCTGGAACATCACATCAAAATGAATTTAGTATTCAGATTTCAATTTTTCTGTATACGTTAATGTTGGGTATCAAAAGAATACAATGTATATTGGATTTAATATCTGAAAAGTAAATATAATGCATTAGATGAACTAGGTCTGACTTAAACTTTTTTAACAACAATAGAACAAGTAATTTTGCATAAAATATGACTTACAGCAGACAGATGGTAAGGAAGAAGGTTTTGTCTTTGTAGGGTTTCTTGTTTTTGCTTTTCAACCCAGAAGGAATTTACTTTCAGAATCAGTCCATTATTAGTCAGGATCTAGATTTTGTGCTGCCTTTGAACCGTTAAATATCAGCTGCAGCTTACCCAAAGTTACTGATGTATAATAAGATCAGAGTTAGACTCTTATTTTTCTTCCGTATCATGTTCAAACAACTGATGGTTATGTGTAGTTTCTGCTGTATTAGTACAAATACACTGTACAGTTTTTGCAGAGGAAAATTCTCCCTTTAGCCAAGGGAACTGAAGAGAGATATTCCTTGCTTTAGTGAAAGGAAATTGGAAGCCTTTATTCATTCCTGCCTCTGCATGAGGCCTAAGCAGGTAGAAAGAAGTAACTAAAAAGCTTTAAGATATGAAGTAGTCGTTTTCACATGGCCCGCTTCTCTGTCCCCCAGCTTTCCACTTGCCTCTCTGATACTAACTGCAGCAAACTGGATGTACTTTTTTGTTCTGAGATCTGAGCAGGCTACTTCGTAATTTATGCCACAGCTCTTTTCTTTGCTCTGTTTTTCAGAGGGTGATTTTCAACGTTGTCAACTTCAGTAAAACAAAAAGTCTCTATCGAGATGGGATGGCTCCAATGGTGAAATCCACAAGTAGGCCAAAATGGTAAGCTATTGTTTCAAAGACTTAAAAGGAGGAGAAAAGCGTGTTTTATCTGGTACTTTTTTTGTAGCCAAGACCTTGTAGTTCAGGTGCTGCTTCCGGTAACAGTAGACTGATACTTTCAGGCAAGAGTAGTGTGGTGAGAACAGGTTCTCCTTGGGACAGGAGGTGGACAAGATGAACTCTGGACATCCTTTCCAGCCTTACCTGTCATGCTGGTATGTTGTAGTGCCTTGTTTCAAGTAGTGTGACTGAAGCAAGGTCCATGTTGTAAGCTGAACAGTCACAGTATGGGCCAAAGCGCTGTTCAAAAGTGCTGACCCTCCTCCCTGTCCAAGTGTTGGGCAGTCCCTGGCCCAGGTTTGCCTTATGTCAACTAGCTGATGCCTGGGAATGATATGGGTGATAAACTGGGGCTGAACCTACTTCCAAAAGGCTATCTGAGTTTGGTCCCCCTGTTCTGGGGAGGTCAGAGTCTGGTGGTGAGAATGTGAGCTGTGCCATGAGAGCTGACCTCATGCAATGAACAGTCTCCGGTTTGTTTGATCTACTAGTACAGATGGAGCCTGAGACACCATAAGGCCCAATGAGTTGGTTGTAGGCAGCACAGTATACGCAACATGCACGCATGAAATACACATGAATGTCCATATGGATGGTACATTCCTCAAAGAAAATGTAATGAAATGACCACTGTGAATAATAATATGTAAATCTAATGAGTCCTAACGTATGCAAGACTCCCAAGAATTATGCAGTTTGCCGTTAGCTAGATTTGTTTGAATATGGATCGTGAGGTTAGGCCTTAAGTGTACAGTAATGTATTCTTGTAAGCCTTTACAGCTGCTAGTCTTTATTTGTTAATTAATTACACATTTGATCAATCTGCACATTATCTGAGCCTTACAAATTTATCATTCTTAAATACTTCAACTGTCGCAAAATTTCCACACATAACGTTAAATTTTGGTGGTGGTAAGATCATTATAACTGCACTGCTTCCTCTTTATATGAGCAACCAATATGGCTGTTTGTTTTTTAACTAGATGATCAGGTCATATGGACAGAGGAGCTATCTTAAAATCCAGTTAGTGTATAGAGTCAATCCCAGCTCAATAGGAGCATGTAATAACATTGAAAATTAATTAAAAAAAATCAATTGTGTAGTGTTTTTGTAGCAAAAGTCATGTTAATTGTGCTTACTGTTTAACTTCCAAAAAATCTTTTGGGGGCATTTCAGGACCGTGTTTCTTAGGCCTACTTTCATCATCTTTCAAATGCTTTTCTTTCCCTCACTGGGGTCTGGTACTTGTAGCTAAGTATATTGTGTGTTAAGTTTACCTATAAATCAGATATTGCTTTCATACAAATTTTATGCCTTTGGTTTTTCAAATTAAAGTGTAAATCTTATAAACCAATGCAAAATAGGCTTTCTCTAGTACATGTACGCTCCTTCACTATTTTTGAAAACAGGTTTCTCTTTCACTTCCCAGGAGATCTATTTATTTTTGTGTTTTATATTTTTAAGGGGTGTATTGTGCTCCCATGAAAGTGAGGAATGAATAGCATTGCCTGGAGCCAGGCACAGTGTAGGCAGAGCTACTACTATACTTTAACCCTGTTTGAGAAATCCTAGTTGTAATTTTTTTTCTTTCAACATATCATTGTTCTATTAAGGCATACTTTTTTCCTAATAGTCTGTGTACGAAAACATCTTTGAATAAGGCTGTACTCTGAGCATGCACATTAATTCATGGTGTTACTGGGGACTTAGTGATATTGGGGTCTACTTGATATAATTTTCTATCTTAATGTTAATAGGAGTTATATGTGTGTTCCAAGTGGGAAAACACATACATTTTTGGATATATGCTTTCTGTTAGAGCTGTCTTCCTTTTGGATGTCGCCTTTTGCAATTACCTCTGTATCTGTTTCCATGGCATTCTAGTGAAACCTGTAAACAAAATTATTCTGTTTTTCTGTTTGCTAAAACAGGAATTACTAGTACCTGCAGTTGCCAATGCAGCATTCAGTTAGTTGTGGTCCTTGAATGTGACAGGGTGACATCCAGTCATATGAATTTGATCCTGTTTGATGCTTTGTATAAATACCATTAGTCTAGTAAGCAATACTGAGTCATTCAATGCTGCGAAAGTGCTGAGGTTTACACGAGTGTGCTCAGGATTCAGCGCTGTAGATGAAACCCAACCCTTGGAACTCTCCACCTTGCATTTAAATCAGCAAAGCAATTTAACGGATATAATGTAATTAAATTAAAAAATGTTATATTAATTATATATGGTGAAAAAAGCTTTTAAAATCAAGTTAAGAGAAGTAAGATGACCAGAAACCAACCTCTGCAAATATTCTGTAAGAGGGCTCAGTCCTTCATCTCTGAAATACTCTACACCCAATATTTGAGGAACTTATTGTTATTGTGCCTGCCTGTAGGAGGCGTGTGATACATACTGAAATTCTCCCAACTTCCCCTGGCCACACTGACAGAAGCAATGGTGTGGCACACACAATTATTCCACTCCCTATTTTTTTGACAAATGAGTTTGAGCTTTAGGATAATAAACTGTCTATTTTCCTTTTTGCATTTGAGAAATCTAGGTATATTACTTCTCTTAATAAAAGATGTTCAGGCCTGAGTTATGTCCTTTTGGTTTAAATTAGAAACTTCCCATTGTATCCAGGACAGAATTTGACCATACATGTTACAAAATCCTGCATATCAAAAGTAGATTGGCCTCCAGAGACTGAATTTTAATGTTTGTTTTGAATGCAGTTTTGCGAACGTGGCTCCAAGCTTTGCAACATTTTCTGAGTTTGATTCTTGACTCTGGAACAAATTGCTGCCAAGTGCTCTTGAAGTACAGTGCGTGTCAAACACAGATCAACATTTTTGACCTGTATTCTCTTGCCCTGTGGGGTAAGATCTTTAAATGCAGTCAGCATCAAGGTTCGGTTCAGTGTTATGGATGTAAATGGAGTATATCATTGTCATCAAAGCACTCTATGTGGACACAGATGTTCTGGTGTTGACATATTCTTCTCTTTTGAAGTAAGGCCAAACATTTCCAGTAATGAGCTACTTAAAAAGAGGAAGCAGTATGCTGAAGGATAAGAAAAAATAGATTTCATGGTAAAGATTATTTTTATAAAGAAAAAACAGAAAAATAAATTCTTATTAAAATATTTGTTTTTCCATACACAGTAAAGGACTTACTGAATGTTGATATTTTTCATTCCCAGAGGGATAGAGTCAAAAAAGGAGGGGAAAAAAAAAAAACTTAAGTAGGTTAAGTTCAGAGTTCCTCTTTCTGTTTTTCTGCGGTTTTTGGGACACGCTCGCTATGTTGATGCTAAATAGTATGGGATCGTGTCAGTTGCATCAGTCAAATCTCACTGCAATGAATTGCAGCTTATGTGTAGAAGTACAGCATTGTCACATCAGGTTACATCAGTTGCATTTCATGGCAAATTGGACAAGATCAAACTCAAAATTTTATTTCAAGCCAGTTGAATGTGCCGTGACTGGTCATATAGTGTTTTTGCTTAAAATTACCTAGTTGTTTAGAAATATTTCATCAGGATTTTAGTGTATTAGGGTGTTTTCTTGCTAATTACTACTTCAATTATATATATAAAAATATAAGTGACCTCTTTTAGGTATTTTTGCTTTGTTTTGTGGAGAGGAACAGTTTGAGGGAAGATGAATTTCAGGAATTTAAGTTTTTGCTATAGTACAGTCTCTACTGTAATCTTATTTCTTTGCTGGTTTCATTTGAATACAGCTTAATTCTGTTGCAGTTTGTTAATCATGATTACACACTAAAATCTCTGTCCTTGCAAACTGCTAGCAAAATCCACCATGTGGGCATAGCAGTGGAAGGCCATTTAAGTGCAGATACTGTACCATTATATTGATTCCACAAAGTTTTATAACTTTCTCAAAGTGAAATAGAAGAGTGACTTGTTCGAGAGGCAGCAGATTTTCCAAATGATGAAGTGAGCAAATATTCCCTTTGGGCAGAGAACAGCTATAACTCTTGATTATTCAGTGTGAGCATTGCCTCATTGGGGACATTAGTTTTTCAAATTGCGCTAATCTTTTAAAAGTAACAACTGGCCACTCATCACCTTAGGTATTTCAGCGAGATCATGTGCAAAACTCTAATTAGTATTTATAGAACAGCAACTCCTCCCAGTAGAATACTAGCAGTAGCTGGCAAATATCTGGTTGACACCTGTTAAGTCTTCAGACATCCATTGTATTTTATTCTGCATTTAAAATAAGCAGAGAGCAGTAGGTGAAGTCCTCATAATTAAGGGATAAAGGATAATAAATAACGTGGTTCTTGAGTGGATGAACACAAGGTTAAAGGCTGTTCTCCACTTGTGATGCGGTATTTCAGGAAATGTTTGTTTGTAAGTAATAATGCTAGGTAAAATATTATGAAGCCTTCAGCATACAAAGGGAAGATTTAGGTCTAGATTTACATGTGTTTTGTTTATAATGTCAGATTTCAAACTGCTTCTTGGCAAAGCCTTCAGTTTCTTTCCTGTCTTATTTTACTCAGCATTGATGGCTTTTAACTGGATAGCTGCCTTCCCAGACAAGCACTCCACTACCTCTGTTGCTATAACATCGCCTTTAAAAGACTCACAACACATTGCTTCTGAAACGTGTTTCTTTTCCAGTAAACCTGGAGTACAGAAAAACTTCTAGGTAATTAATTCAAATTTGAATCTCTATGTATCTTGGTAAATATTGTCACGATGAGAAATTTTGGTAGACATCTAGAAAAGCAATGCAAGTTTTATGAACAATACTCCCATATGTTCCATTCATCAGAAGGACAAGACTGAGAAAATCTGAATTTTGAGTAGCTAAAATATGTTGATTCTTGCCAAGTTTCTTTAACATTTGTGTCTACAATGCAGTGTTACAATCACTACCATGTCTACCAGGCTGCTTTATACATTTAGAGATTTTC